TATTATATTTGCAAGCTCTACCAAAACTTAATACGGACGTGGTCGGTATCATCAATCTGCTGCAATTTTACGCGAATGTTTTGCATGCTCCATTTTGTTCATAACTTTTTAATAAGCAATGAGAGGTAAATAAAATCTTTTTGAAGATTATTCATGATTTTAACAATCTATGTTAAAGATATTGGAGTTTGAAGCAAATTGAATTCCCTTTTCTATAGTTTTATCATACGCAGTTTAATATGATATGTAATGAGCAATTAGCAGAACATATTGCATAAAATGTCGGATTGAAAAAAATTAATTTAAATTCTGCTTTCTGATGCGAAGAAAGGGATTGAAAAGTATTGGTTCGCATAAAATTTTACCGCGCTGAATGTGAGACAGCAGTGGTTGATGCTTCGCATTGAAAAGTATTGGATCGCATTTTTACTAAAAAAAAATATTCCGTTATTTATATTCACCCGGCATAAAAAAATATTTTTTTCGAAATTTTATTACTATTTTATAACTATTTGTTTCTTAAGATGAAGTCTATGATTATAAATATTTTCTCGTATTTGAAAAAAACACTTACCTTGGTGGGATTCGAACTCGGGATGACCTCTGGATCGTGAGCCAACTGCCTTACGTGGTAGACTACTTCTTAATTTGATGTAAGTGTTATATATAGTCTATATGTATATGTCACAACCAGCGCAAATATATAATTTTTCAAAAATTATCTTAAGAAACTTTAGTTTAAAAAGAGTAATAAAATTTTGAATTGGATATATGATATAATATTTCTTAATGTCGGGTGAATGTCAGAAACCAGTGCCGGCTCATTATGAAATTTTGTGTTCGTAAATATATTTATGAAAAAAGTGTATTTATAAAGTTAAAACATTCTTATCAAATCCTTACAAGGGCCTCATTAGACAAAAATAAGAAAACCTTTCTTATGGCATCCCTAATAAATAATGGTCGGGATCTTATCCGGGATTGGACGGGATAATGAATACATAGCACGAGCACGAAGCATGCCGATCCAGCCAATCTTGCGTTTCAGCACTGCTGCTACTGCTGCTAGGCGTGTGATGGGGGTAGCGCACACAAGGAAAAAGCCGTGTACGTGTGCGCATGTACAGTGTGCACGGCTCTTTCCTTGTATGCGCTATCCCCACCACGCGCCTGGCTGCGGTGTTGAAACGCAAAATTTTAACAAATAAGTACGAGCTTACGCATTAAAAAGAATTCTCTTAGCTTATTCCTCGAATTCAATCGCAATCGATAACCTTCAAACAAATGCGAATTCTTGCATTAAAAAGGATTCACTTCTTTTGCTAATTGTTTTTGGATTCAGAGGCATACAAGATTTTCACGTTCTATTCCCCAGTATCGCACTGAAAAGTATTGACCCGTGATCCAATCCGAAATTGTTGCAAAGCAGAATTCATGACAAAATCTCGTGAATGCGAAACAATATTTTTGAATAAGACGTTTTGTGCAGGGATAGTTTTCCTTATGAAACCAGCCACTCCATTTTTTTTCTCTTACACAATATACGCACATAATTAAAATTTTTTTAAACCAACATTTTTATACATACAAAAAATTCATGTACATTTATCCTATTTTTTGCCCAAACTTTCCTAATCCTTCTCTAGGCCATTGGACCTTAAGAGGTCGCAAAGATCCCGACAATGTTATCACTGATTTAAACAGTTGTCTCTTTTCGGTGATCGGCTTTCAAATTGGGCAGGATCCATTAAAACTTCGTAAATGGACGGTGCTACAACTGAAAAACAACTTTCAGAATTTGGCCAAATGGATAAACAAGGTCAAGTTGGAGAGAAACGACAAGATGATCTTGATGATTGGCGGGGCTCGATACAGAGGTACAGAGCCTGCCCATGCTAAAGCGATCCTGGACAGATCAGAAAACAGAGAAAGTAATTACTACAAAAAAGGTTATCCGGTTAAAGGTCATGCTAGAGGACACTCCATGAAGATCTATTCAGAGGATGATCCTTATCAAACAGTCGAGCAATATGCTAGACAGTATTCTAAAGACAAAGCTGGTTTCCTATCACGAGCTGATCAAGACTTTGTCGCTGATTTGGCATTGCGAACAGAAGAAGCTCAATTAGCTATGCGCAGGCTCAATGATAGAATAAATCCAACTCCTATAGAAGAAATACGTATATCGGCTAACGCTTTAAGGAATATATGCAGTGAGAGACCCTTGCCCCAAATAAAAGTGTGGGATAAAAACGGAAATGAATATCCGCGCAGTTTACAAGATTTAGAAACGGTGAAATTAGTAATAACTCATCAACATAACATGTCAGATATGACTGATGAGGATGTCTTCGTTATTACTTTTTATCCTGTTGTTAACGCTAGATATCGATACTAGGAGTATTTCCGAGACTTTAGGTAAAGTAGGAAACTTTACCATTGGTGAATGATACAAGTTTTCAACACGTCGTGTTTATTAGTTATACTGTGATTATGATTTTTAATTCTGAATAAATGTACATATTTTTCAGTTTATTTACGATTGAAATAAAAAAAGAAAGTAAAAATATGGTAATTTTCTCGAGAGTTATAATGGAAAAAAGTAGCGAGGTCCTTTCCAGTGTATCTACGTATGCGAAAAATACGTGTAAATAGGTGGTGTGTATACCTAGGGTAAAGTAGTGGTAAGAAACAAAAGTTTAAAAAAAGGCGAAAAAATTAAGTAAAAAAAGAAAAAAATTTATTTCAGAATTTATTAAAAACTTAATTTAACTATTCTATACATTTCCTGTGCTTTACTTATCTCCCATTTCCATTTTTAAATTTTGAATATACACATATTTTCGAGAATAATTATTTCAAGAAGATATAACTAGCACGGACTTTATGTCTATTCTTTGAATGCACTCGTAATAACAAAAGAATACTAAATAACAGAGTTTTGTAATGACTAATGTCCTGCGCCGAATTATCTAGGGTGTTCAGCAAATTCTCAATTATGGTAATAATGATTCTGATTTCTGCTTCACAAATGTCCAAGTGGTTGACAATCTCGTGCAGCCAAGGAAGCATGCCATATCCTCGTGTGAGAAGTAAGGATGCTTTAGGAATTCTGGTAGTAGAGGCGACGACATCCAAAATTAATTTCTAGAAGGAACAAATAAAAAAATGACTAATTTACATCGATAAAGTTTACATAATTTATATCAAATAGATAATATGAAAATTGTATACAGCAATAAAGAAATGTTTTCAGATTATATGAACAGATCATATCTACTCAGTTTGTTTTATTAATACATGTAGAAAACGATTAATTAAATATCAAAACTGCATTTTGATTTTCATTATAATTGAATTGTTATTCAATACAATCAAATTTCCTTATTTTTACTCCATCCAGTCAAACAAATTCCCTATTTTTAGCCTTTTCTCACAATCCTCGTTCTTGTTCCAAAGATGTATGTACAAAATAAAAACATCATTGTATTGACGATGCTAATAATAAGCAAGAGATTCAGATGTATATAGATTTCTTTTTTTTAATTGCTTTCTTACTTTGTGTGTTTATGTGATTTAAAAATCTGACTATTTAGAGAATTAAAAGAATGTGAA